TAACCACTAATTTTTATAAATATTTCTGGAAGGAAATAAGTACATTCGTAATAGATGCTATCAATGAGTCATATGAGATTGGAACTTTGCCAACTACTTTTCGTAAAATAATTATTTCATTAATTTTTAAAAAAGGAGATCGTGAACTATTAAAAAACTACAGACCAATTTCCCTGTCTAACACAGATTATAAAATTTTAGCTTTTATCCTTGCAAAGAGAATGCAACAAGTTATTGGAAAATTAATTGGTTTACAACAAACAGCTTATATAAATGGAAGATATATTGGAAATAGTACAAGACTAGTTTTAGATATTTTTGAATATTTTGAATCACAAAAAGAAACAGAAAGTTCAATACTTTTTTAGATTTTGAAAAAAGTTTTGACAGTATTGAATGGAACTTTATGTATGAAACATTAAAAAAATTCAAATTTAGTGAAAAAGCTATCAAATGGTTAAAACTCTTATATAAAAAACCATTCTTGAATATTAAACAAAATGGTTGGCTTTCTAAAGATCAAGATGTTAATATTGAACGTTCTTGTCGTCAAGGTTGCCCGGTGTCTGCAATGGCATTTATCTTGTGTTGTGAAGTCATGAATCTAGCTTTATATCAAAATCAGGAAGTTAAAGGTTTAACAATAGGTAAAAGTGAATATAAAATTTCGCAATATGCAGATGATACTGCACTATTTCTAAAAGATAAAAACTCAATTACACATGCACTTTCAACAATCAAAACATTTTCTAAATTTTCAGGGTTAAGGTTAAATAAAGATAAGACTGAAGGAATTTGGCTACATAGAAATATTATCAATGATGAAAAATATGAAAACATTTTCTGCATGAAAAAAATCAAAATTCTGCAAAAAATTCTGCAAGAAAAAAAGCAAATTCTGCAAGGAGAAAATCGAAATTCTGCACAAATTTTCAAAAAAAGTCCAAATTCTGCAATCTTGTAAAACGATGAAAATTGACGTAGCAAGGGAAACGGAAGTCAGCTACTTTCTAGGTAAGAACTGCGCATCATTAGCGAACTCGCTTTAGCGAATTTAAACGTGATAGAATGTTGGATTTCACGGTGAAATCGTACTTGTACTCAATAATGATTGCGATTGTTGGACATAAACAGACACTCTTAAAATACCCCGCAAAGGTAGGAGATCGTAAAATATGTAATTTCTGGAAATTCTGGTAATTCCGCGGGATTTTCATGAAAATCAGGGATTCTGCAAAAAATTGAAGTTTTGTCAAATTCCGTCCACACCGCGGAATTACGGAATACTAGTATCTATGATTTGGGTGTTTATATAGGACACAATAAAGAGAAATGTCATAAACTGAATTTGGACGATAATGTAAATAAATTAGATAAATTACTTGACTCATGGAAGAAACATAAACTTACTTTAATGGGGAAAGTAACCGTTATAAAATCATTATCAATACCTAAATTAATACATGTAGCATCAGTCCTATCAATACCAATTGACATAACAAAAATTGTAACTGGCTTAATATTCAAATTTTTATGGGGAAATAAAAATGATAAAATCCGAAGGACTATTATTATCAACCCTAAAAATAAAGGAGGATTAAACATGATTGATTTTGAATCCCAGTTGTTAGCAGCATGGATTCCACGATTGTTTGATGAAAAAAATATGTTTAATAAAGTTCCTTATTTTTACTTTGAAAGACTTTTCCCAAAATATTACAATTTACTAAATATAAATGATGTTGATTTTAAAGAATTTAAAACAATTCCTTTATTTTACCAACAAGTCATTCAATCTCATTGTAAATGTAAAACTATTAAGGAGGTATCAGAAATGAAACAAAGTGACATTTTACAAGAAATAATATGGGGAAATAAACTTTTCACCATAAAAAATAAACCAATTTTCTTTCCTCATTGGATAGAGAGTGGAATAATTTATATTAAAGACTTAATAATGCAAAACTGCCTGCTTGATATTGATTTAATTTATCAGAAACTTGTCAATAAGCAAAATTGGATTTCTGAATTTTATCAGGTACAAAACGCAATTAAATCTATAAAAAATATGATTGATATACAAAGCTCAAATTATACAAATATTCCTAAAAGATTTAAGTTTAAGTTTGAAAATAAAACAATAGATGTGAATCATCAGAAATCTAAATTTTCTATGACATTTTAAGAGCAAATAAGGCAGAAAAGTGGTATTTGAAAGATACATGGAAAAAGCAATTTTGTTATAAAAAAGATGAACTTATTGATGAAATTAATTGGAATAATTTTTTTGACACCAAAATAAATTGTAAAGAAACCAAAATTGCCAACTTTAACTATAAAATAAATAATATTACCCAGTACATGTGAGCTTTTTATATTTGGTAAAACAGAAAATTATAGTTGTGATATTTGTGGAAATCCTGATTCAGTAAAACATTTATTTTTTGATTGTGTTTTGGCCAGGAGTGTCTGGAACTTCGTACAAGATAAATCAAAACTTGGAATAACTTATAGAAAAATTATTTTAGGTTATAATGGCAATGATGATTTCGCTAAAGGACGATTCTCGGTTTGGAGAACAGTCTCTTGGGCTAATAATTTTTTTCATGAAAAATATAGAAATATTACCCAAATTAAACTATGAATATTCAAAAGAGGACATTTAAATCTACAAGATGTAAAAAATAACAAATTGGTCTGAAGCAGGGATAACGCTCAATTAGACCGATTCAATAAAATACAAGTCTCGATTTGGGGAAAGAAGTTCATCAGTGTACTGCGCTAATATTTTTTGCGAAAAATCTCGAAATATTACCCAAATTAAATTATGACTATTCAACAGAAGACATTCAAATCTATATTATGTAAAAATATCAAATTTGTCCGAAGCAGGGATAATGCTCATTTAGATTGATGAACTTTGTTCTCCAAACCGAGAATCGTCCTTTCTTAACTATTTTGTCAGTGTAATTACATATACAATTTATAAGGTTTACCTAGGACTGATAAATGACAATAATGTCAGAAATTTAGATGTTATAATACCACCCTTGGTATACGCAGCTAACGAAAATTGACCAGTACGGGTCAAAAGCTGGACCGGTACGGGTTAACGGTTTTATTTGAATTTAAAACAGCCATAACTTGCTCAATATTGACTTCCTCGTGTCTAATTTGAAATATATGATTCCTCCCGATGCTTTTAAGTACCCCAATTTTTACAGATTTTTTAATGGACCAAAACTCTCTAAATGCGCATTTATGCTCTTTTCTCTCGAGAACGACTGTCTCATTTTCACGATAACTTTTATTTAGTACTTCTAACATATAAGATCTATTTTTCCCCATCAAGGTATGATGTAAATGACATGCTATTTACATCTTGTGAGTTTCAATGACGCGCGTTTGATTTTATAAAAAATGCCAAACTTTGTGACAAAGAATTTCATCCTGCTTGCAGCAAGAAGACGGACCGGTTCTATTGCCCCGAACCGGTCCGTCTTCTCGCTGCAAGCAGTGAGTTTTGGTCCGTTTAAAAATCTGTAAAAAATTGGGGTACTTAAAAGCATCGGGAGGCATCATATATTTCAAATAAGACACGAGGAAGTCAATATTGAGCAAGTTATGGCTGTTTTAAATTCAAATAAAACCGTTAACCCGTACCGGTCCAGCTTTTGACCCGTACCGGTCAGAATGTCGAAAAACTAATCAGTTCTAGATTTTCAAACTAAAAATCATCCCTAAAAATTTGAAATTGATCTGTCAAATGGTTATTCTGAAAATGAGTAGACAAGACTTTATTACACACACGATTTCAGGATGGTTAACACTGCCAGGGAATATGGTGTTTTATGTGAAGGAAGGCCTGACAGTCTTCTAATAAATGATAATGTTGACAAAATTAGGCACCAGATGGACCTCCAAATAATTAAGAGAGGGCCTCCTAAAAATAGTTATTCATTGATTCATTTGATGAAGCATGAAATAAAAAAATTTAGTTTTACATAAAATTGCAGCCATTTTGAAATCTAGCAGCCATCTAGAAAATCTTTTTGCCCCTAGGCTCTAGCATATTAGTACTACGGCCAAGGCCATTTGTGTCCAAAACACCTAAATTAAATTTTAAATTTGATTAAGATTCTTGTAGGGGACCCCAAAGCATGTAAAAAAAGGTTGGTGAATCCTTGCAAAGCAAGCTCAAAAGTGCTGAGTCAGCAAATTTTATCATTTTCAAGTTGGAGTTTGACCATATGCTTGAAACTATTTTATATCTCATTTGAGGATGTTGCAATTATAATGAAACTTTGTTAATATGAATTCCTGAAAGTTTGGGTCTTATCCAACAAAATTTGGTAGAGATATGGGATAATTTGTCCCTAAAAGTACATAATTTCTCTTCAAAATTTCTTAATCAGTCGATAGTTAAGCAGTCATTTAAAAAACAGTAAGGGCCTATGGTGTATAAAACCTGATTAAAAGTGATAGCCATTTTGAATTGAGTGTTCTCTTGAAAATTACTTCATTAAAACAGAGTTTCCATAATCCTAAGGAACCAGCATATAATTTGTACAAAATCTGGAATTTGAGTATCAAAGATTACACTTTTACAAAAAATGGTGACCATGTGCAATCTGAACCATTCATCTACACACTGGTAAATGATTTATCAAATATCACATTTTTACAAAATATGGCAGCCATTTTGAATTTAAGCGGCGCCATCTTGAGCAGGTACTATCATTTAAAATTTGAACCAAATCTGTTACAAATAGTGGCCATTTTGAATATAGCAAGAATATTGAAAATCCCTTCTCAAGCAGATGTCCTACTGTACATACATAAGGCATATGATAATAAAATTTGAACCAAATTCTTCAAGCGGTATATGAGTGATAGCCCGAAAACATGAATGGAGGAAAAGATGAACAGATGGATGGCTTCTCTATATCCCTATGAACTTTGTTCGGTGGGATAATAATACCGGACAGAAGTGCACAAACCTCTTCTTCATGCTCTTGGGAGTTGTTTGTGGACTTGCTAGTGCTTCCATGTTTGGCTGTCTTGGCACCTGGTGTCAGCTCATCATCCTTGTTAGCATTTGCCAATGCCAGAATGATGTACAATGTGTGGTAGGGGTGCTCCATAGCAGTCCTTTCTATCAGCTACAATCACAATAATGATTGTCACTTACAAATGACAGATGGATGTCCTAATTGACTTATGGACGAACTGAATTTCATGAATTTCCTATTGTTATGTTTGTGACTTGAGTCTTTATTTCTAAAGATACAACTTTACTACAAAACTACATGAACATTACAGTGTGTCTGTCTACCTTGTATCTTGACTAACAAGTGTCTGATAGGACAACCTACATCAGTTATAATATGGAATGTTATAAAAACCCTTCGACCTTCACCTTCGACCGACAGGGTGTTCAAAAAGAAAATATTATAGAAGCTATTTTTGCCGATCTCAGACCACGAAAGAGTCATATTTTCTTTCGAAACTATATAATATTTCCATTCAAGGATTGTCATGCATTTGCTGGAAAAATAGAAATCACGCATCAATTTAGCGTGTATGATCAAATATCACGCAAATCACGCATTTTGTTGATATTTTTAAAAATCGTTTTTTGTGAAATGCCGACACAGAAAAAAAAAGGAACGGCGAAGAAAAGCGAACGAATTCCGTTTGGTATTTGCACGCGATTGCCTTTTATGTCACGAATTTGGTACAAAATATGTGTATATATCACGCATTTGTTACGAAAATGCCCCCCCCCCCCGTTAATGGATTTGATGAGCGAGCGTCAGCGAGCTGGAAAAATTTTAGGTGTCCAAAATCTGCCAGGTGTTCACTGAAGCTGTCCAAAGTTTGAAGGAAGGTGTTCAACATTTGGAAGTCACTCATGTTAGATGGTCCCATGTTGACAGCCCTGCACGTATATAAGTAGGCCTATTAGGAAATACGTTAGAAACATTCACTCAAGTCCATGTCTCAGACGTGACTAGCAGGCCCGCAGCCAGGATTTACCACATATTGGCTATACTGTATGGGGACGTACCGCTAAAGTGGATCACTTTTTCACCGGAAAATCCCTAGATGTGGGTCCCATTTTGAAGAAAAAACACTAGATATGAGTCCCATTTTGATGAAAAATCCCTAGAACTGGGTCTACTCTGAAAAATCCTAAAACTGTATAGGTACTGGTTTTGAAAAAATCGCCGGAAGTGGGTCTTGTTTTTTAAAAATTTATTGGGTAGGTATTTTGAGTCTCACCGGCACCCCCCCTGTAAAAAATTTGACCAGTACCCCCCCCCTGGCCAAGGGGGAGCTTTTTGACAGTGTTGGCTAAAAAAAATGACCATGATGATAGAGGAAGAAAAGAGCCCTACAATGCTTTTTATTTGAAGCTTATAGCTCAATTTTGAAGGAAGTTACATACATTTTTGTAAATTCAAAACAAATTTTACACGTTTTTTAATGATCTAATTATGTTATATATTCGTATTTTTCGTTTTTTGGGTACCCGGGTACTGGGTACCAAGTTTGAACCCAGCATGGAGGATTTACTACCCAGTACCCAGTTTTTTCTACAAACCCCAAATTATATCTGTATTTCAGTTCTGGACGGCACATGCATGCGTTTAATAATTTAAACAAATCAAATTACTGGATTTAATATGCATGCGCAATAGACTGGCACAGATCCCCCCCCCCCATTGCCCAGGTGTGCAATTCTTTATACTCTTCAACAGAGGAGGCCAAGAAACGATCGATGGAATTTTTTGCTTGAATTCAAGAACTGTTTTCATTTCTCCTGGGACACATCGTTTACTAACTGCATGCATAACTGAGTATAAAACGTCAATAAGTCAAAGGTGCGGTCGAAGGGTTTTTATAACTTTCTTTTTGGCCCGCTTTTTGAACACCCTGTAAGTCGAAGGTGAAGGTCGAAGGTGCAGGTCGAAGGTCGAAGGGTTTTTATAACATTCCGTTATATATTATAAAATCTGATACCTTGTGTATATTGATACTGAAAAACTAGATACATGACACCTATGAAACTTCATTCATTGAATAAGAGGATGCTAAATGCCACATTACATATATTACTTACCCTATCAAGGGGGTTACCCAATGCCCTCATGGACATTCTGGCAGCTAATTGGTACATGAGTGGCAGGAACTTGTATGTCTTGATATTGTGAATACGCTCCTGGAACATTCAACATATACAGTACATGTATTATGTAGTATGTATTAACTTTCACTCCCTATCTTAATAACAATGGTATCTAAAAATCAAACAAGGCATTATACAAATGTAACCACCTACCATTTGTTACAGACACTGACCACTGAATGTCAAAAACTGTCAGCAAAAAGGTTGGAGACTAAATACAATATGTCAGCCCTTGTGGTTAGATGACATAATAAAAATTGTACAATTGTCCTTTTAGTACTTATTTATTTAACCACTTTCTTGATGATTTGTCAGACTATTTACCGAAGGAGTATGGACTTCAATTTGACGGTGATGAGATAAACCATTTACTTTGGGCTGATGATTTAATTTTATTGTCAAATACTGAAGATGGAGCGCAAAAAAATTCTGTAAGAGGTATCACCTTATTGTAAACACATTAAAGACGAAATCAATAATTTTTAATTCAAAATCCAATGTGAAATTCACTTTTAATGACAACATTATTGAAAGCGTTAACCACTATGAATATTTGGGCTGCATATTTAATAATAACAATAATTTTGATAAACACATATGTTATCTCCAAGAACAGGCAAGGAAAGCCCTTTTTAAAATTAAGCAACAATATAAAAAATTTAACGATGTTCCTATCTCTGTTGCCCTGCATCTTTTTGATAACTTGGTTGAACCAATTTTAATGAATGCCTCTGAGATATGGTATAGTAAGAAGCATGTAAAAGCTATAGAGGCAATACACTTATCATTCCTTAAATGTTTTCTTGATGTGAAAAAATCAACAGCTACACCGGCTGTTTATGGGGAGCTAGGACGTTATCCTTTACAAATTCGTTTCAACATTAAGCTGATTAAATATTGGCTGCGTTTAATAAAATTACCTGAAGAAAATATGCTCAATAAATCATATTTGTATGACCTCGAAATGAATGGTTTAGGTCCAGTAAAGTTATTGATATATTAAAACAATGTGATTTATTTTCTCATAGGTTGACTCAAAATGTTGAAGAGGATTATGTATTTATTCAAATGATCACAAAGAAATTAAAAAGTAATTATGCACTTCAATGGAAACAGGATATTCTTACTTTTCCTGTACTTAGAACTTATATAAAATTCAAAAATACTTTCGCCAAAGAATCATATTTAAACGTTCAAAATAAAAATTATAGACATGCATTAACTAGGCTCAGGATGAGTTCACATAAATTACAGAAAGAAGTTGGGCGGTACTCAAAACCAAAGCCAAAACCCACAAGTGAAAGGTTGTGTAGTGAATGTGGGGTGATTGAGGATGAGCTTCACTTTATCACAAGCTGTACAAAGAACTTAAAACACAGAGAACTTTTGTTTGAAACTTTAAAATCTGATCTGAAACAGTGCAAAGATCCAGATAAACTGTTTGAAACTAATATGTCTAGTAAAAGCTCTCATGTTAACTTACATTTAGCCAAATTTGTATATCACTCTTTTAAAAATTTAGAAAATGATTAATATTATGTAACATTTTTAAAAACACATGTATTATGGATACACCACACTGATATTCTGTTATCATACCCTGACATGTGAAACTGATGTAAAGTAGTTTTGTAATATGTACAATAGTTGTAGTTTGTAGTTTTTTGTACACTGTAGTGACTGATATGTCATTTACATGACATGGTTATTGAGTCAATAAAAGATATATATAGAAAGAATCATCCCTGAAAATTTGAAATCAATCCATCAAACAGTTCACCTGGAAACACGTAGACAAGATTTTACAGACAAGATTTTGGGATGGAAATTCAAAATAGCCACCTTAACATTTACCCAGAATGTGCAAAAACTATTTGAACACGTGATTTGCATTCAAAAAATCATCTCTGAAAATTTGAAATCAATCAGTAAATGGTTTCTCATTTACCCAATATACCCAAAAATAATCAGTTAAATATTTGCATATCAAGAATCATCCCTGAAAATTTGAAATCAATCCGTCAAACAGTTTGCCTGGAAACGTGTAGACAAGACTAAACAGACAAGATTTTAGGAAGGAAAATCCAAAATGGCTGCCTAAAAATTTACCCAGAATACCCAAAAACTAATCAGTTCGAGATTTGCATACTAAAAATCATCCCTGAAAATTTTGTATTGATCTGTCAAACAGTTCGCCTTTGAAACATGTAGACAAGACTTTACAGACAAGATGTAAAATGTAAAAATGGCCGACAATAAAAAAGCAGATACAGTAAAACCTGTCTCATCCGAACACCCATGGGACCAGCCAAAAGCGTTCAAATTGGCAGGTGTTCAAATTTCGAGGATATTGTTGGTCGGGGGGGGGGGGGAGTTTTCATAGTTCAGTCCACTATATTGAACACTTAATACTAAGTCAGAAAACAATACATGTTGTTGATGAGATTATTCTACAATAGGCCTATAGCCTATATGCTATGTTTTATTTACATTTTGAACAATTTCATTATTATAGTAAAAATAACTCATATTTTGGCAAAAACTTTGTAATACACTGTATAAGTATATGATAGTCTCCTACAAAACCTTATGCTTATCAAATGACTTATCCCATATTATGGTTTCTTGGGACTTTTAGCATTAGCAATATTTGAGTAGATACATATCCTCTTCAAGTAAAAAGAATTTTTCATGCGTGTTCATTGGAGATGATGTGTAATCCTTAAAAATATCAAGGGCATTCAGGATGTCAGATGTATGCCTTGTTAGGAGGCATTTTAGTGATAGGATATTACGAAGTTGAATTTTTTCTCTTTCTCGTGATATAATCTTGTCTGCAAATGTGTCTGTGTTGTCTTTGTGATTATAAATCATTTACTGATTGAATATTGGCTATCATAACACACCCATGGGATATAAAACAGTTAAAGACCTTTTCATAATCCAAAAAAACATCCAGTTAATTTACAATAAGGATAAACCAATTATCTCCCAGATTCTCACCTTTCTCTTTATCCAAATCAAAAACATCCAGGTAATTTCCAATGATGATAAATCAATTATCTTCTTGATTCACACCTTTCTCTTAATCCAAACATAAAACATTCAGTTCTTTTCAAATAGATTAAACCAATTAACTCCTGTATTCACACATTTCCAAAACATCCTGTTGTTTTCCACTAATTAGGGATGCCACTGAGACTAAATAAATTAATTATGACAACATTGGTTCTTTGATTACATTGTATATGTAAAGATAAATAACAACTATAACATTGTCTCGATATGTGGCTATTTTTTTAATGTCCAGACATTTGATTTCTGATAAAAATGTTCACATTAGACAGGTCACTTTTTCAAATCTGGTTGTTCACTTTTCAGATCAGGAGGTGTTCAGATTTCAATTTTTTTTAACATAGGAGTCAATGGGAGGAAAAAATGGGACCGAAAAGGTTTTCGTATTAGCCTGTGACTATTGTCAAGCAAAAATATTTCAAAAGGAGAACACAGTTTGTTCGGAATTTTCAAGTAAATTGGGTAAATGTCACGCATTTGCTTCAAGGTTTTAAAATTTTCTTTTTGAAGAGAAGATTACTTTTCAAGAGAACTTTTATAAGCATGATAAAAGCTGAAACTTACAGATATGAGTTGGATTATTTCATCATTAGCTGCATTGTCGAACCAGAGTGATGTCATACGGAAGACTCGTAGATCATGCGTATCCCCGTATTGCAGGCACTTGAGTGAGTTAAGCAGAGCACTTAGAAGGAACCTTTGTTTGTCCTTTACCAGTGATTTCAGCTCAGCATCATCAATCTGAGATTGCTTTTTAAGTGTCTGCACAAATCTATAATTTTCAAAAATATTTAAGATCAGAACTAGAATACAATGACAAGGCATGACAAATGTCATCAAATATATAAAAATATATAATGAGTGTCAGACAACATTGCAAGAAATCATGTCTCAAATTAGCCAACATACATGTAGATGGGTCACTAAAAGACAAGGACATAAAACTGTACAACATGTCTGCACCAATGGTACTATATCAATTTTTATCCTAAATGCCCAACAATAATCAGTTGAACATAGTCACCGGACAGACGGACGGAGGGACGGAGGGAGGCATTCCTATATCCCTCCGAACTTCGTTCGATGGGATAAATAACTAATCAGTTCCAGAATCTCATACAGAGAATCATCCCTGAAAATTTGAAATTGATCCATGAAACAATTTGACTTGAAATGTGTAAACAAGACTTTACAAACAAGATTTTTATGATGGAAAATCCAAAATGGCCACCTTAACATAAACCCAGAATGCAAAAAACTAAATGTTCAAGATTTTCATACAAAGAATTACCCCTGAAAATCTAAAATATGCCCGTCAAATGGTTCGCCTGGATACTCGTAGACAAGGGACAAAATTTGAGGACTGAAAATCCAAAATGGCCACCTTAAAATTTACCCGTAATGCCCATAACCTAATCAGTTCCAGATTCTTATACTAAGAATCATCCCTGAAAATTTGAAATTGATCCATAAAACAATTTGGCTGAAAATGCGTAGACAAGACGTTACACATGAGATTTTAGACAGAAAAACCAAAATGGCCACCTTCAGCTTTACAAAGAATACCGAAAACTAGTCAGTTCTTTATTTCCATACAAAGAACCATCCCTGAAAAGGACATGTGTCATTAAGGGGCCTTTTTAGCCCCTACAGATATCTGATACTATCAGTTATCACACGTTTCAGCATGTGATACAGGAAATATTCCACGAAAGGTAAGACTGTATCATCCACGAAAGCGAAGCTTGAGTGGTGATACATTGTTACCCGAGTAGAATATTTCCTGTATCACATAGGCTGAAACGTGTGATGACGATTTTATCACATGTCTAGGAATTTTGAAGAATTTTGATTTGGTCAGTGATGGATTGTGTTTAGTACCCTGTACTCCTGGTAACTATTATAATTTTTTTGATTTCACTTTGAAACAGTATGTACGGACGTACGTACGTACGGACGGACGGAGGCGTTCCCTATATCCCTCCGAACTTCGTTCGTTGGGATAATAATGCATATCATATTGAAGAGAACTCATTTGTGCTTCATGAAAATATATAAAATTTCATCACATTTTGACCTTTCATTCACAGAACAGTCAGTTAAAGGCTGTAAACCTTTTTTGATGTTTTTTACAAAATGTTATTATTTATTGTTGTCTAAGTAAATAATGTATAAATATAAATATATAAGCACAAATGCCAAAAGGGAAGGGTGACTAAAGGAAACCCAACAAGAAAAGCAAACTGTAAGTGTAAATCTGTCATAAGAAAAGTAGACCCTATATATCCCAAAACCATGATCTAACGTGAAAAGAAACAATGTTAAACATCATGAAACAAGTTTGAACATATTAACATGTAATATACTGTATGAAATACTGAAGAAAAATATGATTTACTGGAAAGCACAAAGAGCAATTTTGGTAAAACACAAATGTGGCTTTTAGGTATGACTGTTACCGACTCATGTTAAATTATATTTCAATTTGTTGAAAAGCTCAATAACAGTGACAGTCATAGACAGACAGCGATTTCTATTTAAGAAAAATTTGAAGAACAGTTTAATGTGTTATTTCTAGTAAAGAACATTGACAGTCACAGGCAGACAATGTTACTTCTAGCCTAGTCCTTTTTATCACACCATCGGTGGGATATAGTCGTCATACTGGTCGTGGTCGTGATCGTGGTCGTGATCGTGATCGTCCCGCTTTTTGTCATCGCCGTTTAAGGAAAACTGCTCATCAGATTTTCTCCAAATTCGCAGAGATGATAGAGCATATGAAGTACTAGAGCTCATTATCTTTTGGGTGGCCATCTTGTTTTCTGGCGGCCATTTTGAAGATTTTTCGAAAAATCTTGTCATCGCCATTTCAGGAAAACCGCTCATTGGATTTCCTTCAAATTTACACAAATGATAGAGGATATCAAGTACTAGAGCTGATTAACTTTTTGGCGGCCATCTTGTTTTCTGGCAGCCATTTTGAAGATTTTTCGAAAAATCTTGTCATCGCCATTTCAGAAAATCTGTCATCGGATTTCCTTCAAATTTACACAAATGATAGAGGATATCAAGTACTAGAGCTGATTAACTTTTGGGTGGCCATCTTGTTTTCTGGTGGCCATTTTGAAGGTTTTTCGAAAAATCTTGACATCGCCATTTCAGGAAAACCGCTCATCGGATTTCCTTCAAATTTACACATATGATAGAGGATATCAAGTACTAGAGCTGATTAACTTTTGGCCGGCCATCTTGTTTTCTGGTGGCCATTTTGAAGGTTTTTTGAAAAATCTTGTCATCGCCGTTTCAGGAAAACTGCTCATCGGATTTCCTTCAAATTTACATGTACACACATGATAGAGGATATCAAGTACTAGAGCTGATTAACTTTGTGGCAGCCATCTTGTTTTCTGGTGGCCATTTGAAGTTTTTTCGAAAAAATCTTGTCATCGCCATTTCTGTACATGATAGGGGATATCAAGTTCTAGAACTTATTAAATTTTGGGTGGCCATTTTGTTTTTTGGCGGCCATTTTGAAGGTTTTTCGATAAATCTTCTCATCGAAAACAATCCACTTTGTCATATTGCCTTATATTTTAGCTCAAGATGTGAGCTATTGATTAATATGACCACAGCCAACATTTTTTTCTTGTTCTTGAAATTTGTAAACATAATAGGAAAACAGTTTTCCTGGTTCATAGTGTCTGCCTATTTGATGGTGTGATCTCGTTCACGTCCTGTGCCTTGTTATCTTTTGACATTTAAATGAAATGAATGTAACATGAGAAAATTAAATTGAACACCCATGGCTGGCATTTTTACAAATTAAGTACATGTACACTGTTGCTCATAAATATGGAATATTAGATTTAGCAGCTCAGAATTCAAAGTTTGGAGTAAGATAACATTTATTTGGAGATGGCTCAGACATTTATTTTCTAGGCAAATCATAACCACATATTTTACCTACAAATCAACATTCTTTTAGAGAAAAAATATCAACATTTAAGTTTAGAAAATTACTGTTACTTAAACAGGGGTACGCTAAGAATTTTTGCATTTTCAAAACACCCCGATCCAAATTGTCATGTAAAACAGATCAAACAAAATAAACATCTGGTCATAAAGATTGAAGTGTCCTCTATCCAATGATAGCACTAATATGTGTTATGTCCTCTTTGTGCTGCAATCAGAGCATCAACCCTACAGGACCAGCATTGAATGAAACATCTGACCTTTCAAAGTGAAATAAGGCCCCATTCCTCAATCTGGGCTGTGCGTAATGTGTCTAAATTTTGAGGTGGGGGTCCAAGTCACGAATCTCATTACCTCATTAGCCTGATTGGCTGACTTTTGTGCCCATGGTAGCTGGTCCACATTGCCTGCCCCTGATGTAATCCAACACGATGCCACTAGCATTTGCAACAGCATGATTATTCTGCAGTTGAATGTTGCCCCAAAACACTCTGTTTACATGTGGTACTTGATGAAGGTCCAAAAGGTCGATTTACTCTAAAATTATGTTTGGGAATCACCAAGGGGGTGCAATATTTCTGTAGTACTGCTCCAAACAACCTCTAGCTCTGTAATACTGCTCCAAACATAAATAGGGTCGCTTTCATGTACTGCCACACCAGTAAGTGTCCTTATTGTCTCTTTCCCCTGGTCTACGACAGAAACGAACACAATTATCAACTTTGTGGAGGACACATCTTATTTCTTCACATGCTGTCATATGACACCAATGATTAGGTTCAATGTTTTAGTGCTTTCCTGACCATTGAAGACACATTTCTTTGTTATGATCAGTCAGCTGTGGTCTCTTCAAAGGTCTCATGGCCTTACATCCGTTATAAAGAAATCACTGGTTGTCTATACATGTAGCTCTGGAACACGAGTTTTGAGGTGAGACAGCCATTCATCTCGTAGACTACTGGTTGACCTATAGCGATTTTGATGACATAAATGCAGCAGGTGGTGGTCTTTTCTTACATTTTTCTCTCTAGGGCTACTATTGCTGTGACCTTTAGTCATATTCCAGTGCCTTTGGTACAAACATGTATATATACTGTAGCAAAAATTGCAAAATAACACATAAAAAATAGCCACCATCTTCAAAATGTTTACTCACTAGCCAAATTGTCGTCAGAAAGTGTAATATGCTTCTTAGTAGGCATATATAAAATTTCAACAAAATCACAAATTTAATATGTACATGTAAATGGTAGCCATTTTTCTAAATGGCCAACTACTAGCCAAAATGCCATAAGACAGTGTGCCATGCTTATGAGTATTCACATATAAAATATGAACAAAATCACTCCATTACTTTTTGAGCTATAGTAAAAACAAAAAATAATAACACAGGTTAAAATGATGGCCATTTTTCAAAATGGCCACCTACTCCCGAAAGTGTCATTAGACAGTGTGCCATGCTTATAGTATCCGCTACTTTAGTAAATAACAAGGATCCAAATGTGTACAACATGTCCTCACCAATGGGTGATCCTATATACTGCACATTTTTCATCCTGAACGCCGAACACTAATCAGTTGAAAAGACAACGTTTTAAGAGAGAAATCCAATGTGGCCACCTTAACATTTAGCTGGACTGCCCAAAAACTAAGTAGTTTGAGATTTTTGAATCATTCCTGATTATTTGAAATTGATCTGTCAACTGGCTTGCCAAGAAACAATAGAGGCAAAACATTATAGAGAAGATTTTAGGATGGAAAATCCAAAATGGCCACCTTAAATTTTAACCAGAATGCAGA